GAGTCTAAGCCTATAGTGTGGGTTAGACATGGAGAGGACCGGGAAATGGTGAGAGACTAGTCATAATGGTCATGTGGCTGTGGAAGAAGAGGAAGAACAATCCTGGTTGGTAAGAATTAGACCCTGGGAAGTCAGGGGCAGAGGGAGGGACCATTACCCTCTTAGCTTTTGTCTGTAGGGTATCTGAGCAACAACTCAGGCTTCCATCACCACCCTCAATTTTACAACTAGCCAATAAATAATCTTAATTTAAAAACTCTCAGAATCTTCCCAATAGCCACTGGCTCCAGAAAGAAACAGTCTCAGCAAGAAACAACAGAATAAGATTAATTCCTGGACACTGAAATTATTCCCTTTAGCCTCATGCTGTTATTATTGGACTTCTTGTACATTTTTCACAGACCAACGATTGTTCTAAATTCTCTAGCATGAGTGGTAATGGATAATCGTACTGCCCTGGATTTTTTGCTGGCCAGTTTAGGTGGGGTATGGGTCATTGCCAGTATCTCTTGCCTCACTTGGATTAATGACCTATTTACCTGGATTGGCTTTGGATGAGGAGCCTGACTATGGTCCAGTCTCCAGTGGGCCTGGTTATACTACAGCATGTCACTATCGTGCAGTCACATTTAGTATATGTGCTGCCGAAGCGAGCACTATCGCAGTCACTTTTGTCTGATGTTGCCTGAGACACATGGAATGTATTTGACCCAAGCCTCTATCAGTACAACTAATTAGAGTATCCGATGACCTATGTGGTGGTTCATTCCTGAGAATCTTTATGTGTAAACAGTTGGGAGGTCTTGTTGTAGGGGAGTGACTTCACTGTGGTGTCCTGGCAAGTTCGCACATATATAGGCTGTGCAGGCAAAAGCTTGAACAACAGCTACTCTGAGTCATGGCGGATCACCCTATGATCCTTCGAGAACATGAGAGGATGAGAGGAGCTTTACAGGCCTTCAAGCCCATCTCCCACTCCCTTCCCTATTTCTTGTGGGAGGCGGTCATGAGACAATTTCTCATTGCCTCTCAGAATCTGAAGAGGTCTGAGGCTTTCTGGATATAACTGCAGACTGTAACACTGCTTAGCTCTAGTCTAAAATCGGCTCCTCACCAAGGATGTTGCAGTCCTCAAGTCCCCTTTTGTTTTGGTGTCATTGTTTTTGGTGTGTGGGAAAAGGATCTGGGGACTGGCATGTTTGGATACTCTTACTTTTGCTGTTTACATAAGTAATACATTGTATGAATCTAAAAGTGACTTGTTTTATCTTTACTGGTCAAGTCAGTTAGGACATGGCCTTGACCTTGCCTGCTGCTATGTGCTTAATAGGAAGAAGAATGGAAAGAGTAAAAATATATGGGTGAATATGGGTAAAAATAGATTATCTCTTTCCTCTTTAGTTTTGAACCAAAACACTGGTCAGAACCATGAGACCTTCCTTCTGGTGGACCATGACTTAATAATCAGGCGTCTGAGGGCTGCTTATTCTGAGCTAAAACTCCCATAATTATTTTGCACTGAGTGCAGTTTTCTCCATCTTGTCCCTAAGATCATGGGAGCATTTATTTATTTTTTTTAAGATTTTATTTATTTATTTATTTGACAGAGAGATAGGCAGAGCTGCAGGCAGAGGGAGAAGGAAAAGCAGGCTCTCCGCTGAGCAGGGAGCCCGATGCGGGGCTCGATCCCAGGACCCCGAGATCATGACCTGAGCCGAAGGCAGCCGCTTAACCGACTGAGCCACCCAGGAGCCCCATGGGAGCACTTATTTTTATTTTTTAAAGATCTTTTATTTATTGGACAGAGAGAGAGACAGCAAAAGAGGGAACACAAGCAGGGGGAGTGGGAGAGGGAGAAGCAGGCTTCCCGCTGAGCAGGGACCCCAATGTGGGGCTGGATCCCAGGGTCCTGGGATCATGACCTGAGCCGAAGGCAGACGCTTAACAACTGGGCCACCCAGGCGCCCCATTGGGAGCATTTGTTGTGTGCTCATCCTTCCTAGTGATCTTTTTTCCCAGGGTAAGACTCATTGCTTCCTTCTCAGTGCTCACAGCCTATTCACTAGGGTCCATTTATGAGCTTCTCCAGTATCCTCTTAGAAACAAACAAGCCAACAAATCAGGAATCTCACCCAAGGTCTCCTTTGTTCTGTGATTTTTCACGGGTGTAGTATCTGTAAGCTCTCAATACCTGGGGACCTAAAAGGAATCTGAGCCTCTGGACTGGAATTTCTGCGAAGAGGACATCTTACTTTGTTCATCCCAAGAGACTATATATACAAATGGAAAATGACCAGACCATATAGGAAAATAGAACTCTGACCCACAGTCTGTAGTAACCAGTCCAGGAAGCCAAAAGAAACCCTGTAGCAGTCAGCCCCAAACAACCAGAATTTGATTAATATCCTCCTCCAACCACTCACATAAGATGCCTTGCTTCTAGTTAGCTCCCCCATGCCAACTATCTCCAATCAGAGCATATGTGAAGTCTCTCCCCACCCCCACTTTTTTTTTTTTTAACTGTAAGGCTTTCCCACTCCTCTGCGCGGCTTAGAGTCTCTGCCAAATGCAAGTGATGGTGGTTGATTCCCTTACTTCTAGCAAGCTCTGAATAAATAGCCTTTGCTTGTTCTCATTTTGGTGGTCTTCTTTATTTCCACAATTTCCTTTAAAGGTTTAGCTTCCCGGCATGCTGTGTGATGTGAGTATAAGCCATTTCCTCTCTCTGACCCTTACTTTCTTCAACTGAAACTCTAGTTCAACATTGAATAAACTTCCTTTATTCGACAAGTAAGCCTTGGCACTTAAAGAAACTGGGCCATAAGAGGTGCTAGACGTTGGGTGGATATTAGAGGCACAAAGATGATCAAGGCCATTAGCTGCTCTCTGCGAATGAAGAGCCCAGTAAAGGGATGGAGATCCATGAACAGGCATGTCATGAGAAGTGTGCGCTGTTTCATACCAGCATCCATCCCACGAGTGCAGTACTGCAGAGAAGGGTGGTCAGTGGGAAGAAGAGGGTTGGGAGAGGATTCCCAGAGGAAGCCTTCTCCCCAACAGCCCGCTCCCCCGCATTCCCACAGCGGCGCCCCGAGGCGGTTGGTGTCTTTGGGAGAGCGGGACGCGCTCTCGGCTCCCTGTTTTCTTCGCTGGGCAAGAGGGAAGGACCACAGAGATGTGGCGCCCTCCGCCGTCCTAGAGAAGCCGGAGTGGCAGGAGGGCGGCCGCCTCCACCTCTCCCGTGTCGAGCTCTGGCTCGCGCCAAGCGTGGGGAGCTGGCGTGGGGCTGGCCCGGCCCGCGGGGCGTGGAGTCCGGGACTCGCGCGGCCGGCTCCTGGGCGAGGGGCCGCTGTAGCCGACGCGCCCCGGGCCGGAGCGTCCCTCCCCGACCGTGGGCAGCCCCCGGTCGGGCTCGGCGCGCGCTCGCGTCCCGGGAGGGCGGCCCGGGCCATGGCGGCTGCGGCCCTGGCGAGCGGGGCCCCCTTCGGCCCTGCACTCGAGCTGCTACCGGGACAGCCCGCGCCGGCCCGGGCGCGCCCGGTGAGTGCGGGGCCGGCGCCACGAAGCTGGCTCGGCTCTGCCCCGGGCTCTAGGCCCACCGGAGGGGCGGAGGGGGCAGTGCGGCGACCGGGAAATCGGGGTGCAGCCCAGAGTGGAGGGGCCGGAGGAAGAGGCAGGGAGCGGAGCGGATTCGACATCCCCCCAGACTTGGGCCGCCAGGGGAAACACACGCGCAGCTGCACGGGCATGAGCCGAGCGCTGGGGCGGAGGTGTTCACGGAGCGCTGTGCGCCGCGACGAATGTCCAGCATTTCCGTGTCACTGGTTTTTACAGAGCTGGTTATGTTTGAGGTGGGTCTTGAGATGAATCTGAGTTTGCCGGCGCAGGAGGGAGGAAGTGCATCTCCAGGCAGGGGGAGCGGCAGGTGCAAGGACACAGATTTGGGCAAGGAAAGGATTTGGGTTCCTAAGAGGATGGTGACAGGATAGGGGATGAGGGTGGTGGTGCAGGAGATGATCCTTGGCCGGTAAGCTGGGTCTCTGAATAGTCAATGGAATTGTCCCCGGTGCAGAGGATTTGGACGTTTTGAGGCAGGCAAGGGTGAGCCCGCCAAAGTCTTTGAGCCCTGGGGTGCTGAGTAAGTCGCAGTGGGGATTTTCTAAGGCAAGGACCGAAATGTAGCAGAATCAGCCTCTCCATAGTATGGAGACTGAGATCTGAATGAGACAGTAACTGGGAATTATAAGCCTTGATTGCTCTGCAGAAGCACTGTTTGTGTTTCTTAAGGAAGAAGGTAAGAGAAGGTGCAGAAGCTTGGGCTCCCAGAGATACAGGAAAGGGGGACGTTAAAACTGGGAAGTGGGGAAGGAAGAGTAGGGCGGGGCGTTTGAGAGAGTGTGCTGGAGTGGCAGAGTGCAGGGAGTCAAGTCCGAGTTTGGACCTGCCCTTTGGAGGACAGCCTCCAAAGCAGCCCTGGTGTTCTGGGGTGCCCTTAGCTGCCTCTGTGGCTGGTGACAGTGAGGGGGGAGGGAGAGAAGAGAAAGAGCCTCACCCTGGGCCAGCAGGGGTGGCGGGAGTGATAGAAGGCGGTGTGGCACAGTAAAGAAGAGCCAGAGAGGCAGACTGCCCTGAATTCTGTCTCCGTTCTGTACCTTTGGGGGCAGTGAATCTCTGAGCCTCACTCTCTTCCATGAAATGAATCAAATCCCCTCCTCAGAGGCTGTGAGGCATACACAAAGTAATACAGGTAAAGTGCCTGGCACAGGCTCATGGATGGTAGTTGCACTTGTTATCAAGGGTTGGTGACCTCTGCCTGGAGGGCCCGCTGTTGAGAAATGAGGGCACCTAGAACGCGGATACTGGTTTGGGGCATAAGGATGAAAAAGGGAAAACTTGCAGAGACTCATGAAAAAGATGAGGGGATGAAGACGTGAGAAATTGATGGCTGATCCCTTATATCTTTGTAAGTAGGGGGTGCAAATCCGCAGAGAGTGCCAGAATCCAGAAAATCAACTGGCATCCCCTCCAGTACCTCTTTGTGCCTGGTCTACCCCATACGCCAGGCCTGGGTCTGGGATTGTCCTAGGGCATTTAAACACATGTTGTTTCAGGAGTCAGTGACCTTCGAGGATGTGGCCGTCTACTTCTCTGAGAACGAATGGACCGGCCTGGCCCCCGCTCAGAGGGTGCTGTACAGGGACGTGATGCTGGAGAACTATGGGGCTGTGGCTTCCCTGGGTAAGGGTCTTTCTTTTTGGACTCTGCTTCTGCCCTTCAGAGTTTTCTGACTCCTTCTTCCTCAGAAGCTCAGGAATCTTTGATAACCCCCACCTGAGTGGCAACCTCAGGCCCTTGGATTCTTAATAATGACCCAGCCTCAGTGGTTGCTGGGAAGTGGGAAGTCCTGGTATAAATTTGGTCCTCACATCAGACTTTCTTGCCCCAGGGTGAGAGCTGCCTAACTCCCAACCCCTATGCTATGGGTAGAGTAGGAAAAGAGCAGATTCCTGGTGCCCCACCAAGCCCTCAGTTTCCCACCCACTCAGTTTGGGAGATCGAACCCAATACCAAGCGTCCTCATGCAGATGTCTGAACTTGAGAGTTCTAAGAGAGGGAGAGAACAAGAAAGCCTAATCTCTCAATGAGTGGAATCATCCATTTGCTCACTCAGACTGTTATTGAGCACCTCTTACTCTAATTCCTGACCTCGTGGCCCCACTCCCCTGGGTCTCCTGTCCCTTCCCCTGGACTTCCTTTTCTTGCTCTCCCTAGTTAAGTCTCTTCTTTCCCCTCCGCCCCTAAAGACAAAGCCTGGGAGGAGCCCTGGGATTGCTCTCTGTCACCCCACTCACCTGCCTGTCCCATTTCCTTCCCCTTAAGCAGCATTTCCATTTCCCAAACCGGCTCTGATTTCCCAGCTGGAGCGAGGGGAAGCACCCTGGTGCAAAGCTCCTCAGGGAGCTCTGGATGGAGAGGGCCCAAGGGGTGTCTCCTCAGGTGAGTGAGGACGGGTGCCAGTCATCTGACTTCCCTTGTCTTGATCTTTAAAATGTAATAGGTATGTGTTCTCTTAACCTAGTGCTATAGACACTAGTGGGATTCCTTTTTTTTTTTTTTTTTTAATCTTTTTCTATGCTCCCATGATTTTCCATCTTCTTGAGTCTGTTTACTATTCACCCTGGCTCCTCTTCTTTCACCTGTTTTGCCTCTAACCCATTTCCGCTGTTCTTATCATGGCCACCATTCATCTGTACTCCCTGACTTTTCTGTTGACGCACTGGGGTGGCCTTTCTACATTCCCCGCCTCCTTTAGTCTTCTAGCAGAAGATTCTGACTGCACTTTGGGGTATCATGGCCGTCTTTATCATTAGAAATCAAGAAGTCTCAATAACCCTGAGCCATATAGTTCCAATTCAGGGGTTTCTGGTGGGCAAAGCCCTGGCATTCCTTTAGGCCCACCACAGGGCTTTCCTGTTCCTAATTTCCTAGTGACAACTCTGTCCCCTTTTTGCCTCCCTGGCCCCATTCCATCTTCTTCCCACAGGAGCTCTTCTGTGGGTACAGTGGAACTTGAGCTTTGCCCTCGATGTCCCCATTCTCACAGTTCCTTGCTGTGTCTGCAGTCTTTCCATGTTAGGATGATCATGGTTACAAGTAACAACCCAGTGCAAACCAGCTTAAACAAAAAAGAGGAACTTACTGTTTCGTGTAAGTAGGAAGTTCATAGGTAGGGTGCAGGTACAGCTTGATCAGAGCTTCAGTCTCTGCTCTTTTCTATCTCCTTGTAATGTTGGCTTTGTCTGTAGTCTGGCTATTCTTGTGGTTGTATGACTGGTAGTTGTAACCAAGGCTCTGCTTCTTCATACCTAGGGAGAGAAACAGGGCAGGCCTTCCTCAGGCCTTTGCCATGTACCATCTTAAGTCTTACGCCAACTCTAAACCAATCACTATGGCCAGGGAAATAGTATGCACTGATTGTCTTGGCCCGGACTGCCGATTTCTGAAACTAACTCTCATGTAGTGAGTGGGATAGGTTAACCTGCTTGGCTTAGACCAGTGAGGGCTACACTAGGAACTGGAGTTGGGATCCCTCCTCTCCAAAGGGCATGGCTACTCCATAATGGTGGGGGTGGCAGAGGAGGGAGGGGTTGTTGGTGGTGGTAGATTGGATGTAGAGAGACAACTACAGTGTCCTCTGCCTTCTCTCAGGATCTCAGTGCTTAAACTCCCACCACCCAAGGGTATTTCCCATCTTGACTCTAGGCAGAAAGCCAACAGCTAAGTTATTCCTTGAGTAAAACCCTAGCTCCCTGGCCTGCAGCAAACTTCCTTTGAGTACATGCCCCTATTCAAAGTCCATTTTTTGTCTTAAAGAAGAGAATATTGGGAGACACACAGTCCTTGGCTTCAGCAAGATAAAAGGTGGCCATTTGGAGGGTGAAGAATTGCTCCATTCCTTAGGAGGCTTTGAATGGGAGTTACAAAGAGACAGATCTTAGCTAAGCCTGAAGAAGAGTTTATGAGAGTGGACCTTTGCAAATAGAGGTGTCTGTCATTAGAATAAGAAGTGACTTCTGGAAATGGCTGAATGAGGCTGTGAGTCCATGTCTAATGGATGCCTTAGAGAGACCCATCATTGATCCTTTGTAGAAAGAGAAGGCAATAGATAGGTGGGTAGACAGGAAGGAAGCTAAAGGACTGTGGTTTCCCAGCATAGCCTCAGGAACAGCTGTTTGCAGTTCCATCCCATCCTGATTCTTTTCCATGTGAACTGGCTTTTGCCTTCTAGGGGAGGTGAAGAAGAGACCTTAGTCTCTCCTATTTCCCCTTGACATTTAAACATGAGTGATACATTCTCATGTTTTGGGGAACTGATGGAATTTCAACTTCTCTGCATCTGTCTTCTGTCCTTTATATTGTTCTCCTCCTCAAGTTTCAGGTCTCCTGTGTACCAGTCTTTCCACCCACCTTCATTCTCCCTTACCACTTTCATCTCTGCTCCTTTCCTAACGGGCCCCACTCCGACTGAGCCAGCCTTATTTATATCTTGACCCTGGCAGGATGTCCATTTCTAAAGCCTGCTGGGATCTCCCATCTTGAGCAGGTAGAAGAGCCATTGAACCTGAAACTTCGAGGAGAGGGTCCAAGCCTAAGCTGTACTGGTAAGTGAGGGAAATGAGCTCTTTCCTCCCAGGCACATATTTTCTGCTGTCTTTCTTTTGTAAACTGTTGAAACTCCATTTTACCATTTATGTTCTAAATAAAAATCTCTCCAAAAATCCCCAAGTCAACCATTTGATGAAGAGCAAAGTTAAACTCTAAACTTCAGCTTTCATTTGGACATGATTGATTGATTCGGGTGGTTCTTGGGTCTTAGGCTTTAATGGAACAGATGGCCTACTGGCTGCTACGGTCAACCAAAATTTTAAAAGTAAATGCTGTATTTTATTCATTCTGTTAATTTTTAGGGATCAGAAAGCAAGTAATACATGGCCGCCCTCCTGCAAGGGCTCATAGTCTAATGGTACATTCGACATAAATCTATAATTACAGCAAAGTGCCACGCTGTAACAGAGGTGTGAATAGAGCACTGTGGACACAAAGAGGAGGCAGTCTTTGCCTGAAATAGTTAGGGGAAGCACTTTTCATGGTGGGCCTGGTAACTGGATTGAATGGGAAGACCACATTTCCTTTTAATGTTGACAAGTATGAGGAAGATTCTCCTTGTTGCTTCCCGCTGCATATGACAAGTTCAGGTTCCCCAGGTATACCCCAAAGGATTCGTTATTTCTGAACAGGTCCTCTGCCCTGAACCCTGGCCTGGTCTTCTCATGTTATAAACCGGACTACCTAGAAGAAATTCTGATCTGTCTCCCTTAGATTCAATTCACCTATTTCTGGAGAGCTCCGCTCTAGACTCTGTGGAGTTTCTGCCTTTCTGTGGCATACACTTCAGTTGCTTTCTGTGTGATAGCCCTGTTGTGCCATTTTCAGCTAGAACAGGGCCACTGAGACACAGGGTGACACTTGGAGTGAAATGGACACATTAGTACTACTTGGTGACCTTACTTGCTCTGTCATGGGTAATGATGACATTTGCAGCTTTGATTTCTTCTTTCAGAGGGTGTGCTGAAGAGTCAGAAAGATTTTATTCTGAAGGAGGAACGTTTTGAGGAGGCAAAGGACCACATGGTGTTATCAAGCAGACCCCGGTGGTGTGGCTCCCAGGAATTCTGGTTTGGAAAAACCTGTGAGGAGGAAAAAAGCAGGTTAGGGAGGTGGTCTAACTACTCCAATGGGAGAAGTATGGAGAACACTGCAAATGATATTATAGAAGTGATTGTCAAAGATGAGATGGTCTCAGGAGAAGATAGTTCAGAGAATGCTGATGTGAATACCCACCTTGTTATACATCAGGAAATTCTCAGTGAGCAGGTGTTCTATATATGTGAAGAATGTGGCAAGTGTTTTGATCAAAATGAAGACTTTGACCAACATCAGAGAATTCATAATGGAGAGAAGGTCTATGGGTGTAAGGAATGTGGAAAGACTTTCAGTTTTAGATCACACTGCATTGCACATCAGAGAATTCACACAGGGGTGAAACCCTACGTTTGTCAAGAATGTGCTAAAGCCTTCGTTTGGAAGTCAAACCTGATTCGACACCAGAGAATACATACTGGAGAGAAACCCTTTGAATGTAAGGAATGTGGGAAGGGCTTTAGTCAGAACACTAGCCTTACACAACATCAGCGAATCCACACTGGGGAAAAACCATACACTTGTAAGGAATGTGGGAAAAGCTTTACTCGGAACCCAGCCCTACTTCGACATCAGAGAATCCACACTGGGGAGAAGCCTTATGAATGCAAGGACTGTGGGAAAGGCTTTATGTGGAACTCTGATCTTGCTCAGCACCAGAGAGTCCACACGGGGGAGAAGCCCCATGAATGTACTGACTGTGGGAAAAGCTTCATCTGCAAGGCACACCTTATCCGACATCAGAGAATCCATACTGGGGAAAGACCCTATCAATGTAATGACTGCGGGAAGGCCTTCAGTCAGAATTCTGTTCTGATTAAGCACCAGAGGCGCCATGCCAGAGAGAAACCCTGTAATTGTCAGACCTCTCACATTGAACATTAGAGAATGCATAATGGTGGTACTTGCTTATAATTCTTATGCAACAGGAACCCCAGAGACAAAACAAGGTGATTGTCCACAGTTTGTTATAACTGTAATAGCCAGTATTATCTTACCCCTTCTGAGTAGATACCCTGTGCTCTAGCAAGAGTGGTCCTCCTGTTAGACCATGTTCATGCTAGGCAACTTTTAGTTGAGCATCTACTCTGTCGGGTACTATGCTAATCACTTTATGTACAATCTTTAGTTTTTCTTAATCCTATTGAGGTAGGTACTCATCCTCGTTTTACAAATGAGAAATCTGAGATTGAAAGAAGTTATAAAACTCATTCAAGGTCACTTAGCTAATATGTTACAGAATTGAGATTAGAAGCAGGTCTATCTGACCTCAGAGTCTGCTGTTCTTTATTTGTGCACATTTCTGCTTCTGCTCATTTCTATTTGCTCAAGTTTCCCTAGGCTAAAAATTTCCCTTTCTCATCTAATACCCAGCTTCTTCAACCAAACAGACCTCTCTTCCTCTTCTACTTGTAATCAGTACTGTCCAAATTGTTATTTAACTATGTGCTGTCTTATATTTTTCTAATGTCTTACTGTGTTAGTCCAGCTAAATGTCTCTTTGAGGACCAACACTGTATTTCTTTCAAATTTTGAAACTTATTTATTTTTGACTAGCTGTAACATGCTCATGATAAAAAAAAAAGTTGAAGTAGTTCAAAAAGGTGTTCGGTGAAAAGTAAATCTCCTTGTCACTCCTATCTCCCAGTCTGTCTTCTCAGAGACAGCTACTGTTACTGGTTGTGTGTCTTCCTGGATATATTCTTTCTATATACAAGTACTCAGCTTTCATAAATCTACCTCACTGAAAACCATGTTTGCTGTAGATGACAATGCAGTTACATTGCCAACTCCAGAACTTTCTCTTCCTCTGAAGCTGTGGTCCACCCTGAGGTCACCAAGGTAACTTAAGGAAACTAGTGGAGGGTAGTCTGAATTGTGCAGTCTTGGGAGACCTGATTCCCTTTGTGTTAGAAGATAGCACTCTGGGACTGGGAAAATGTAAAGCAAGTGGGAGACTTTGTTTTGTTTTGTTTTCATAAAAATTTGTATAGCTACAACCCCTCTCATTGTTCCACTATCCCAGATCCCCTTCCAGTCTTTCCCTTCTCATCATCATGATAGCCCACATTCCAGAGTAAGCTGTATTATTAGAGAATGGTATTGACCATCTTCAAGGGTTAGAGAAACAAAGGCCCAATTCAGAGGAGAGTGCTGGCCAAAACAGATGAAACACATTCCAGACTTCACCTTTCGAGCCATTTTTCAGCAGTTTGCCTCTCTGCTAATTAGGCATTCCGCTTTAGAAGCTCCCAGCCAGGTAATGTAATTGTTGACTAAGGAGCAAGGAAGAGAAGCCAGAGACTGGCTTGGACTAAAGTGCTTCCTGAAAGTTACAAACATACTATCTGATTGCTGAAGCTTAAAGCCACTTGGCTTAGCATAGTCCAGTTAGGGTAACCTCTAATAAGCATTGAAACTTTTGTACCAAACAGAACCAAGAAATGGAAATGAGTGATGTGAACAGGCATTTTGGGGAAGTTTATTAAGCAAATATCATTGAGCACCTGCTTGTATGCAAAGCACTATGCTAGGTGCTGCTAAACAATGGAAAGTCAGAGCTGCTTCCTGCCTTTCAGGAACATTCATCTAGTGAGAGAGACCAAACAAAAAAATCAAGTAATTGATTAAAAATTGCTAAGCATTATGAAGGAAATGAATGATACAGAGAGGGAATGATGGAGAGGGAAGCTCTTTATATAAATGGTCAGGGAAGGCCTATCCTAGGAGGTAACATTAAAGTTAAATCTCTGAGAAGAAGGCACATGTATCAAGAAAGGGAAGAACAGCAGGCAGAGGGAACAGCTCTGCAGACTGATGTGTGAAGGGTTTGGCATGTTCAAGAAACCAAAAGGTTTGGGGTGTAACATAATGATCAAGGGTATGAGAGGTACAAGTTAGGTTTGTAGACACAGGTGGACCAGATCATTCAATTCCATCCTAAGTGAAAAGCCATTAAAGGGTATTCAGTGGAGGAATGACATGTTTGATTCACATTTTAGGATGATCGCTGCGTGCTAAGTCGACAATGGTTTGTAGAGAGAGGAAAATGAAAGAAGAGATCATGGAGTTTGCTAACAATCCAGGTTGGAGATGATAATGACTTGGAGTGGGCGGTAGTAATAGAGATGGAGAAAAAAATGTATTTAAGATACAGTTTGGAAATAAAATCAGTGACCTGCTAACAGTGGATACAGGAGTAACAGAGGAATTAGGGACAGCTTCCTGGTTTGTGGTTTCAGCCGCTGAATTAGACAGCGGACCACTTACTAGAATGAGTAAGACTGGAATGGGAATAGGTTTGGAGAAGGAGAAACAGAACTCTGTTTTGGATTAACATTTGAGATATGTGTGAGATACACAAGTAGAAATTTCAAGTGGTGGTTGTATACATGGGCTAGAGCTCAGGGTTAGCCATATCTAGAACTTTGCATCTGGGAGTCATCAAATGAGCAGAAGGTACTTAAAACCATGGGAAGAAATGAACGAAGTCCCCTGGAACTGCTCTACCAAACACGGTAGCCACTGGCTATATGTAGTATTTAAATTAAATTTAAAATTTAGGTTCTTACCATACTGCCCAGATTTCAAGCTCGCAATGACTATATGTGGCAGTTGGCTACATATTGGATAGTGTTGACATAGAACATTTTCATTATTTCAGGAAGCTCTGTTGGATGGTACTGCCTTCAGAGAGCATAGCAAAATATGAGGACCCAGGATAGAGTCCTCTGAAACACCAATTCAGTATTTAGGGAGTGGGGCAGGAGGAAGTGCCAGAAAAAGATACTAAGAAAGAGTGGTCAGTGAGAGATTGGCAATATTACTAGTGGACACATTATACAGGCACATTTGATAATAGGGTTGAATGCTTGGACTAGTGCTACAAGGAGGTGATCATTAAAATCCTAAATATATTAATAAATTCCCAGAGTAAGGATGATATGTGTGCTAGATGATGTCAGTATCTTAAAATGGGAGAGAGAGTATGAATAGGAAGAACAACCCATAGAAATGGAACCACGAAAAAGAAGAAGCATTTTGGACTTAATGGAGGAGCATCATGGAAATTGATCAACCCTAGGAACTCTTTCCCTCAAAGATGGAAATGTTTGTAGGCAGAGTGGTGGAATGGCAAGACAAATTTTAGAAGTATCACAATGAGAGAATTATCAAAATAGGCAAAAGTTGTGTTATTTCAGAGGGATTAAGAAATAGCATGTAGAAATGGATGGCCCCTACTAAGAGAATTGCTGACTGGTCTTTTCCTTACCAGAGCCCCAGAGACAGGTACTTGAAAACCCTGAGCCCATATCAAAGAACATAGCCTGTGATGAAGGTTTCATCACATGGACGACCTTCCAATTTGTAATGACACTTTCCACACATCTCAAAGTTAGAAGAGGAATGAAATTAATACTTACTAAATTTTGGAGAAATTTAAATATAAAAGAAAATTTAGGAATTTAAGATACTTTCTGATAAATTGCAATTAGCAATATATTAAAATCAAAATTGATTATGGTAAAATTTTGTCTTGAGAATTTTCAGAAGTAGGATCAGAAAGTGAGGAAATGTAAAAATAGTGTATTGAGTCATTCACATATGACAATTAGTGGGCCAGCCCAGAAACTCTTGGGGTGATGAATAATGAAATCCCCTCAGAGGTAGCTACAGAGTTGTCTTAGAAGCAACTCAAACCAGTGTCTGCAATTCTGAGCATGTCTTTGTCAAGGCTGAGTCAGGGTTCCATAATATTCATCTCTTACTTGGTTCCCAGCATCCATTCTCCTTCTCTATGGGGACAATAACCCAAATAATCTTTGGGAAAACATCCTTTCTCAGCCACCTGGTTTGGCCTCACCCCCAACTTCCTAAGCCTAGGTCCATCAACTTGTCCTATTTGGCCACAGAGCCAATGAGATATGAGGAGATATTTACTGGGCCTTCTGAAAGAGAGAAGCTTTTCTTTGAGAGCAACCAAAGAAGACACTCTCTGTCCTCCTCTGTATGATATATATAGGAAGATATGAAGCCTTGAACTAGGGCAATACTTTCTTTTTTTTTCTGTTAAACGGGCAGGTGAGGGAAGAATCTGGAGCTTCCTGATGTTAGTATGTGGAGCTTGAGGATGAAGCCAATATCAAAGAAGATAGTGGCAAAGAAGAGAAAAACTGGGTCCCTGGTGACATTGTTTGAGCCACTAGCCCAAGCCTTACTTGAGTTAAGACTTACCTCTGGACTTTTCAGCTATGTGAGCCAATACGTATCTTTTGTTAAACTAGTTAGATTTGGGTTTTCTGTCATTTGCAACGTAGTCATAGTGATCCAGGCTTGTATTTGAAAGCACTGGTGTCTAGTAGAGCACCTAAATGTTCTACTCTCTCCTGCTTAGTAGTCACACAAGCTGCTCATTTGTATTGCATCTCAGTTGCTTGGAGTTTGAGTGGCTAAATAGGCACCTCTCATGCTTAATTTCATGAATACCATCAGACTGATATTTTGTCATACCATAGCATACCTTCCAAATGTGAGTATGATACTCTCAGTTCCAGATTCTCTAGTGGATAACTTCCTGTCTCTTTGATGTATTTTCTAGGCCCCCCCTACCCGACCTATGTGAATTTGGGGTTTGCCATGTCATCTATATTTTAACTTGGATTCTTGTGAAAGAACCAGATATTTTTCATATCCACTGTTGTGTTGTTTTATTGAGCAGTGTTCCACTACTCTTGAGAGGTACAGAGTCCCCTAGAGCATGTTATCTGAAGCTGAAAGTCATTTCTCTGCGGAGTGATTGAGAAGTAAGCAAAAAGTTAGTTCCTTACCTTAGCAAAAAAGGAAAGCAAAAGGAACTGGCTTTGAATTTTTTTTTCCCCAAGAGAAGAACTCTATTTCTGGTGTAAGTGATATAGGTGTTGGAGTTAAGCCACTGCATTTTTCAGCTTCTATCCCCATTTCCAGCATCCCTAGTCCAGGCTGAACTAAAGTGTGCTTAGTATGAATGAAGCCATTCTGATCACTAGTATATTGAACCCACTAAAGTTGCTAAAAAGTTATTGACTCATTTTATATTATATTATATAATATATATATAAATAAATATATATTTTATATTTATATATTTTTTATATATAATATTTTTATAAATATTATATATAAATATATATATTTATATATAAGTATATTAAAATTTTTTATTTTGTTGATAACATAAAAAGAAATGAGAAAGAACTGGTGTGAGCAAAGACGCCAAAATGTAAATTTGCCTATCCTACAATCAACTGTTGTCTCAGGTGGTGTCCTACACTACAGATTACTCTTCCCTTCAGATGTGTTTCCTGCCCACCAAAAGCACCCTATGGAGAGGTTGTCATAGGCTTTTGACTCTGCCCTGTTCCCTTTGAGAACATAGTAATTCTGAATGCATCCACCAGGCTCCAAGTTTATTTTATTATTTTCCTGGCAGACTCAAAGGATACTCATGCAAGTGGGGCTATGGTCCTCTGATATGTCTGTCCTGGGGGTGGCAGATCAGATTCCCTGATGTTCCTTTGCAACATGCAAACCCATGTGAAGAAGAAACTAGAAGGAGGGGAATGGAATATGCTGGAAACTGGTAGCAAATAACAGAAAAGACCAAAAAACCCAGGATGTATACAGTGAAAGTATTCTGAAAAGGTAACAGACATACCTGAGGGAAGCCACCCATGACAATGTTAATATGGTAACTGAAAATCAACTCAAAGCATACATAAGACGTAGGCATGACCCATTCATTCCTTTCCACCTCCTTGGCTTTATTTCACATAATTACCATCTCAGAGTGTTAAGATAGCTATTGTCTTTTCAATCCAATCCTCTCTCTAAGATCAAGAAGATGTTCTTAAAATGAAAATCTAATTATATCACCCTCTTTCTATAAATCTTTTAATCATTTTCTGTTGCCTAAAAAACAAAATCCATGTTCCTCAGGTGAATATTCAAAACTGTATTACCGATTTGTCTTAATTGATGGTTTTACTGTACCTCCCATCCACCTCCAACTGAGGTCTCAACTATAGCCATATTTCTCTGCTTCTAATTTTTAACCATGTTTTGCTCTTTCTATATAGGTCAGTGGTTCTTAGCTGTAGCTGATTTTGCTCGCCTTTACACAGACAATTTGGCAATGGTTAGAGAAATTTTTTGTTGTCACAGTTGAGGAGAGGGCTGCTCCTGGCATCTAGCGGTAGAGGAAGGCATGCTAGTAAATATACTCCAAT